ATATGAACATAGACTGCAAGCGTTTATCGTCTTCATTATTCTGACATTCTTTTACAATAAGATTCTCCATGTATCTTGAACGAAATGAAAATCTTGTACATTTAGACAACCAATTTCAATATATGTGTAAAATCAATTGAAATGAATACCATGAACATGAAATAATAAAGAAATCATAAAAATCTCATGAACAATTARATGTATCTTTTAAGATTTGTAACTCCCAATTAATTATTGGGGGTTACAAAAAGGTTGAATTACCAAATTACCCTTATCATTAATTTATAATTTAAATTTGAACCTAAAGTGAAGAAAAAATGTGATTGATCAAGATCGGTTTCCATAGTTTGTACCATATGGTTGGTTTCTATTTGAACCAACCTATATATATATATATATATATATAGTTTGTTTCAAATACAACTCATCGCATTTGTACAACCAATGCAATCCAATAAATTGAGGTATTTATGGAAATGATGAGAGTTCATTTATTATGATTTGAATATTTATGGAAGATGAATATGGTTCATTAATTATGATCAATACTTTACATTAGGAAACAATCAAACCTTATATAAAATCACATATTAATCAAATGAAATTGAAGTGTTGAGATTGAGTTGTATTAGTTGCACAAATATCAAGGGTTGTATAATAACCAACCTTTATATATATATATATATATATATATATATATATATATATATATATAATAAGAACCACCTAATGCATGCTTAATAAATTGTTATTTATTTATTTTTATCAAATACTTTATAATATAATACAAATTAGAATTGTTAGTCTACAAATATAACTTCCTCTATGTTTTTACTACGGATCTTTTACTTAGATGAGTTGCCGATTCGACCCAAATAAGACGGGACAAAAACTCGTTATTCCATGTTTGACACGACATAAGACGACAAGACAAAAACTCATTGTTCCATGTTTGACGTTACATGAGACAGGGACAAGGGCATATATAGGGAGTGGGTAGGACTCAAAGTTCTAAATGATGTGATGCATGGCTTGGTGGCGAGGTCAAAGCTCAAGCCATACAAGTTACGATGAGGTAACGACGTTTTACAAGCGTGCCCTAAAACGTCATATGTATATATATGTATGTATATTTGCATGTGTTAGTGTTTTGAATGATCCCATTGAATTTTAAAGTTCATATAAAGTTATAAAGGAAAGAAGAATCATTTACATCAGATATTGAGTTTATAAGAAAATGATATATATATCAAGAGTGCAAAATCGGGATTAAATGTCTTGAGTCTCTTACTACTTTTTTCAATCTTCAAATATTTCTTGTTCGACTCTTCGGTTATGGATTTACCTATTTAGGGTTTTAGTTTTTATGTTTCCTTTTAATGTTTATTTAAGTCACGAAGTGTCGTATATAATTATCATTTATCCCCCTGAGTTATATGTTTAAAAAAAGTAAAATGGAAAACAAATGCCTTAAGAAAATAACGTGTTGTAACGCGCCATATATAACACGACATAACGCTTTGCAACAGAAGTCAAGCCTTAAAGTGGAGCCTCAGGGGTTAACGTGGAGACGAAGTGAAGCCTTAGTGCCATAACGAGTTATTTAGAAGTTAGAGCCATGGTGGACCAGATGGGATAAAAAAAAGCTTTTTCTGGAACAATGATGAGACAA